CATTCATTTGAATAAATCTATGTTGCTCCTCTGCTTATTCCACTCTAATTCTACAATGAATCTATATTTGCTCTATTGATGAGAAGCCTCTTTCATGGTTCATCAGACTGATTCATGATACTTGCATTCATTTGAATAAATCTATGTTGCTCCTCTGCTTATTCCACTCTAATTCTACAATGAGCTCTATTGATGAGAAGCCTCTTTCATGGTTCATCAGACTGATTCATGATACTTGCATTCATTTGAATAAATCTATGTTGCTCCTCTGCTTATTCCACTCTAATTCTACAATGAGCTCTATTGATGAGAAGCCTCTTTCATGGTTCATCAGACTGATTCATGATACTTGCATTCATTTGAATAAATCTATGTTGCTCCTCTGCTTATTCCACTCTAATTCTACAATGAGCTCTATTGATGAGAAGCCTCTTTCATGGTTCATCAGACTGATTCATGATACTTGCATTCATTTGAATAAATCTATGTTGCTCCTCTGCTTATTCCACTCTAATTCTACAATGGCTCTAATGAGCCTCTATTGATGAGAAGCCTTCATTTGAATAAATGGTCCTCTGCTTATCATCAGATTGATTCTTTCATGGTTCATCAGACATTCATTTGAATAAATCTATGTTGCTCCTCTGCTTATTTTCTTTCTCTAATTCTACAATGAGCTCTATTGATGAGAAGCCTCTTTCATGGTTCATCAGACTGATTCATGATACTTGCATTCATTTGAATAAATCTATGTTGCTCCTCTGCTTATTCCACTCTAATTCTACAATGAGCTCTATTGATGAGAAGCCTCTTTCATGGTTCATCAGACTGATTCATGATACTTGCATTCATTTGAATAAATCTATGTTGCTATGTTGCTCCTCTGCTTATTCCATACTCTAATTCTACAATGAGCTCTATTGATGAGAAGCCTCTTTCATGGTTCATCAGACTGATTCATGATACTTGCATTCATTTGAATAAATCTATGTTGCTCCTCTTCTTCCACTTATTCCATTGATGAGAAGCCTCTTTCATAATTTCATGATACTTGCAATTTGAGCTCTATTGATGAGAAAGCCTCTTTCATGGTTCATCAGACTGATTCATGATACTTGCATTCATTTGAATAAATCTATGTTGCTCCTCTGCTTATTCCACTCTAATTCTACAATGAGCTCTATTGATGAGAAGCCTCTTTCATGGTTCATCAGACTGATTCATGATACTTGCATTCATTTGAATAAATTCTATGTTCTATTGCTCCTCTGACTTATTCCATTCTAATTCTACAATGAGCTCTATTGATGAAGCCTCTTTCATGGTTCATCAGACTGATTCATGATACTTGCATTCATTTGAATAAATCTATGTTGCTCCTCTGCTTATTCCACTCTAATTCTACAATGAGCTCTATTGATGAGAAGCCTCTTTCATGGTTCATCAGACTGATTCATGATACTTGCATTCATTTGAATAAATCTATGTTGCTCCTCTGCTTATTCCACTCTAATTCTACAATGAGCTCTATTGATGAGAAGCCTCTTTCATGGTTCATCAGACTGATTCATGATACTTGCATTCATTTGAATAAATCTATGTTGCTCCTCTGCTTATTCCACTCTAATTCTACAATGAGCTTTCTTTGATGAGAAGCCTCTTTCATGGTTCATCAGACTGATTCATGATACTTGCATTCATTTGAATAAATCTATGTTTGCTCCTCTGCTTATTCCACTCTAATTCTACAATGAGCTCTATTGATGAGAAGCCTCTTTCATGGTTCATCAGACTGATTCATGATACTTGCATTCATTTGAATAAATCTATGTTGCTCCTCTGCTTATTCCAATTTAATTCTACAATGAGCTCTATTGATGAGAAGCCTCTTTCATGGTTCATCAGACTGATTCATGATACTTGCATTCATTTGAATAAATCTATATGTTGCTCCTCTGCTTATTCCACTCTAATTCTACAATGAGCTCTATTGATGAGAAGCCTCTTTCATGGTTCATCAGACTGATTCATGATACTTGCATTCATTTGAATAAATCTATGTTGCTCCTCTGCTTATTCCACTCTAATTCTACAATGAGCTCTATTGATGAGAAGCCTCTTTCATGGTTCATCAGACTGATTCATGATACTTGCATTCATTTGAATAAATCTATGTTGCTCCTCTGCTTATTCCACTCTAATTCTACAATGAGCTCTATTGATGAGAAGCCTCTTTCATGGTTCATCAGACTGATTCATGATACTTGCATTCATTTGAATAAATCTATGTTGCTCCTCTGCTTATTCCACTCTAATTCTACAATGAGCTCTATTGATGAGAAGCCTCTTTCATGGTTCATCAGACTGATTCATGATACTTGCATTCATTTGAATAAATCTATGTTGCTCCTCTGCTTATTCCACTCTAATTCTACAATGAGCTCTATTGATGAGAAGCCACTTTCATGATACTTGCATTCATTTGAATAAATCTATGTTGCTCCTCTGCTTATTCCACTCTAATTCTACAATGAGCTCTATTGATGAGAAGCCTCTTTCATGGTTCATCAGACTGATTCATGATACTTGCATTCATTTGAATAAATCTATGTTGCTCCTCTGCTTATTCCACTCTAATTCTACAATGAGCTCTATTGATGAGAAGCCTCTTTCATGGTTCATCAGACTGATTCATGATACTTGCATTCATTTGAATAAATCTATGTTGCTCCTCTGCTTATTCCACTCTAATTCTACAATGAGCTCTATTGATGAGAAGCCTCTTTCATGGTTCATCAGACTGATTCATGATACTTGCATTCATTTGAATAAATCTATGTTGCTCCTCCTGCTTATTCCACTCTAATTCTACAATGAGCTCTATTGATGAGAAGCCTCTTTCATGGTTCATCAGACTGATTCATGATACTTGCATTCATTTGAATAAATCTATGTTGCTCCTCTTATTCCACTCTAATTCCAATGAGCTCTATTGATGAGAAGCCTCTTTCATGGTTCATCAGACTGATTCATGATACTTGCATTCATTTGAATAAATCTATGTTGCTCCTCTGCTTATTCCATGATTCTACAATGAGCTCTATTGATGAGAAGCCTTTCATGGTTCATCAGACTGATTCATGATACTTGCATTCATTTGAATAAATCTATGTTGCTCCTCTACTTATTCCACTCTAATTCTACAATGAGCTCTATTGATGAGAAGCCTCTTTCATGGTTCATCAGACTGATTCATGATACTTGCATTCATTTGAATAAATCTATGTTGCTCCTCTGCTTATTCCACTCTAATTCTACAATGAGCTCTATTGATGAGAAGCCTCTTTCATGGTTCATCAGACTGATTCATGATACTTGCATTCATTTGAATAAATCTATGTTGCTCCTCTGCTTATTCCACTCCAATTCTATAATGAGCTCTATTGATGAGAAGCCTCTTTCATGGTTCATCAGACTGATTCATGATACTTGCATTCATTTGAATAAATCTATTTGCTCCTCTGCTTATTCCACTAATTCTACTCTATTGATGAAGCCTCTTTCATGGTTCATCAGACTGATTCATGATACTTGCATTCATTTGAATAAATCTATGTTGCTCCTCTGCTTATTCCACTATTGATGAGAATTGATGAGAAGCCTTCATGGTTCATCAGACTGATTCATGATACTTGCATTCATTTGAATAAATCTATGTTGCTCCTCTGCTTATTCCACTCTAATTCTACAATGAGCTCTATTGATGAGAAGCCTCTTTCATGGTTCATCAGACTGATTCATGATACTTGCATTCATTTGAATAAATCTATGTTGCTCCTCTGCTTATTCCACTTTGAATAATTCTACAATGAGCTCTATTGATGAGAAGCCTCTTTCATGGTTCATCAGACTGATTCATGATACTTGCATTCATTTGAATAAATCTATGTTGCTCCTCTGCTTATTCCACTCTAATTCTACAATGAGCTCTATTGATGAGAAGCCTCTTTCATGGTTCATCAGACTGATTCATGATACTTGCATTCATTTGAATAAATCTATGTGCTCCTCTGCTTATTTCCAATTCTAATTCTACAATGAGCTCTATTGATGAGAAGCCTCTTTCATGGTTCATCAGACTGATTCATGATACTTGCATTCATTTGAATAAATCTATGTTGCTCCTCTGCTTATTCCACTCTAATTCTACAATGAGCTCTATTGATGAGAAGCCTCTTTCATGGTTCATCAGACTGATTCATGATACTTGCATTCATTTGAATAAATCTATGTTGCTCCTCTGCTTATTCCACTCTAATTCTACAATGAGCTCTATTGATGAGAAGCCTCTTTCATGGTTCATCAGACTGATTCATGATACTTGCATTCATTTGAATAAATCTATGTTGATTCCTCTGCTTATTCCACTAATTCTAATTCTACAATGAGCCTCTTTCATGGTTCATCAGATGATTCATGATAGCATTCATTTGAATAAATCTTTTGCTCCTCTGCTTATTCCACTCAATTCTACAATGACTGATTGATGATACTTTTTCATGGTTCATTTGAATAAATTCATTTGAATAAATCTATGTTGCTCCTCTGCTTATTCCACTCTAATTCTACAATGAGCTCTATTGATGAGAAGCCTCTTTCATGGTTCATCAGACTGATTCATGATACTTGCATTCATTTGAATAAATCTATGTTGCTCCTCTGCTTATTCCACTCTAATTCTACAATGAGCTCCTATTGATGAGAAGCCTTCATTTGAATAAATTTCATGGTTCATCAGACTGATTCATGATACTTGCATTCATTTGAATAAATTCATTTGATAAATTGTTGCTCCTCTGCTTATTCCACTCTAATTCTACAATGAGCTCTATTGATGAGAAGCCTCTTTCATGGTTCATCAGACTGATTCATGATACTTGCATTCATTTGAATAAATCTATATTTGCTCCTCTGCTTATTTGAAATGAGCGCTAAATTTCATGGTTCATCAGACTCCTCTTGCATTCATTCCACTCCTCTGCTTATTCCACTCTAATACTACAATGAGCTCTATTGATGAGAAGCCTCTTTCATGGTTCATCAGACTGATTCATGATACTTGCATTCATTTGAATAAATCTATGTTACTCCTCTGCTTATTCCACTCTAATACTACAATGAGCTCTATTGATGAGAAGCCTCTTTCATGGTTCATCAGACTGATTCATGATACTTGCATTCATTTGAATAAATCTATGTTGCTCCTCTGCTTATTCCACTCTAATTCTACAATGAGCTCTATTGATGAGAAGCCTCTTTCATGGTTCATCAGACTGATTCATGATACTTGCATTCATTTGAATAAATCTATGTTGCTCCTCTGCTTATTCCACTCTAATTCTACAATGAGCTCTATTGATGAGAAGCCTCTTTCATGGTTCATCAGACTGATTCATGATACTTGCATTCATTTGAATAAATCTATGTTGCTCCTCTGCTTATTCCACTCTAATTCTACAATGAGCTCTATTGATGAGAAGCCTCTTTCATGGTTCATCAGACTGATTCATGATACTTGCATTCATTTGAATAAATCTATGTTGCTCCTCTGCTTATTCCACTCTAATTCTACAATGAGCTCTATTGATGAGAAGCCTCTTTCATGGTTCATCAGACTGATTCATGATACTTGCATTCATTTGAATAAATCTATTTCATTTCATCAGACTCCTCTGCTTATTCCACTCTTATTCCACTCTAATTCTACAATGAGCTCTATTGATGAGAAGCCTCTTTCATGGTTCATCAGACTGATTCATGATACTTGCATTCATTTGAATAAATCTATGTTGCTCCTCTGCTTATTCCACTCTAATTCTACAATGAGCTCTATTGATGAGAAGCCTCTTTCATGGTTCATCAGACTGATTCATGATACTTGCATTCATTTGAATAAATCTATGTTGCTCCTCTGCTTATTCCACTCTAATTCTACAATGAACGCTATTGATGAGAAGCCTCTTTCATGGTTCATCAGACTGATTCATGATACTTGCATTCATTTGAATAAATCTATGTTGCTCCTCTCTTATTCCACTCTAATTCTACAATGAGCTCTAATTCTGAGAATGAGGTTCATCAGACTGATTCATGATGATTCATTTGAATAAATCTATATTTGCTCTCTTTATTCATGGTTCTATGAGCATTGACTGATTGATTCATGATACTTGCATTCATTTGAATAAATCTATGTTGCTCCTCTGCTTATTCCACTCTAATTCTACAATGAGCTCTATTGATGAGAAGCCTCTTTCATGGTTCATCAGACTGATTCATGATACTTGCATTCATTTGAATAAATCTATGTTGCTCCTCTGCTTATTCCACTCTAATTCTACAATGAGCTCTATTGATGAGAAGCCTCTTTCATGGTTCATCAGACTGATTCATGATACTTGCATTCATTTGAATAAATCTATGTTGCTCCTCTGCTTATTCCACTCTAATTCTACAATGAGCTCTATTGATGAGAAGCCTCTTCATGGTTCATGGTTCATCAGACTGATTCATGATACTTGCATTCATTTGAATAAATCTATGTTGCTTCCTCTTTGAATAAATCTATTCCCTCTATTCCTCTAATTCTACAATGAGCTCTATTGATGAGAAGCCTCTTTCATGGTTCATCAGACTGATTCATGATACTTGCATTCATTTGAATAAATCTATGTTGCTCCTCTGCTTATTCCACTCTAATTCTACAATGAGCTCTATTGATGAGAAGCCTCTTTCATGGTTCATCAGACTGATTCATGATACTTGCATTCATTTGAATAAATCTATGTTGCTCCTCTGCTTATTCCACTCTAATTCTACAATGAGCTCTATTGATGAGAAGCCTCTTTCATGGTTCATCAGACTGATTCATGATACTTGCATTCATTTGAATAAATCTATTTGCTCCTCTGCTTATTCCACTCTAATTCTACAATGAGCTCTATTGATGAGAAGCCTCTTTCATGGTTCATCAGACTGATTCATGATACTTGCATTCATTTGAATAAATCTATGTTGCTCCTCTGCTTATTCCACTCTAATTCTACAATGAGCTCTATTGATGAGAAGCCTCTTTCATGGTTCATCAGACTGATTCATGATTTGCATTCATTTGAATAAATCTATGTTGCTCCTCTTATTTCCACTAATTCTACAATGAGCTCTATTGATGAGAAGCCTCTTTCATGGTTCATCAGACTGATTCATGATACTTGCATTCATTTGAATAAATCTATGTTGCTCCTCTGCTTATTCCACTCTAATTCTACAATGAGCTCTATTGATGAGAAGCCTCTTTCATGGTTCATCAGACTGATTCATGATACTTGCATTCATTTGAATAAATCTATGTTGCTCCTCTGCTTATTCCACTCTAATTCTACAATGAGCTCTATTGATGAGAAGCCTCTTTCATGGTTCATCAGACTGATTCATGATATTCATTTGAATAAATCTTCATTTGAATAAATCTATGGTTCATCAGACTGATTCCTTGCATTCATTTGAATAAATCTATGTTGCTTATTCCACTCTAATTCTACAATGAGCTCTATTGATGAGAAGCCTCTTTCATGGTTCATCAGACTGATTCATGATACTTGCATTCATTTGAATAAATCTATGTTGCTCCTCTGCTTATTCCTCTAATTCTACAATGAGCCTATTGATGAGAAGCCTCTTTCATGGTTCATCAGACTGATTCATGATACTTGCATTCATTTGAATAAATCTATGTTGCTCCTCTGATTATTTCACTCTAATTCTACAATGAGCTCTATTGATGAGAAGCCTCATTCATGGTTCATCAGACTGATTCATGATACTTGCATTCATTTGAATAAATCTATGTTGCTTCTCTGCTTATTCCACTCTAATTCTACAATGAGCTCTATTGATGAGAAGCCTCTTTCATGGTTCATCAGACTGATTCATGATACTTGCATTCATTTGAATAAATCTATGTTGCTACTCTGCTTATTCCACTAATTCTACAATGAGCTCTATTGATGAGAAGCCTCTTTCATGGTTCATCAGACTGATTCATGATACTTGCATTCATTTGAATAAATCTATGTTGCTCCTCTGCTTATTCCAATTCTCTAATTCTTTCAATCAGACTCTGATATTGATTTGAATAAATCTATTTGCTCCTCTGCCCACTCTTTCATGGTTCATCAGACTGATTCATGATACTTGCATTCATTTGAATAAATCTATGTTGCTCCTCTGCTTATTCCACTCTAATTCTACAATGAACCCTATTGATGAGAAGCCTCTTTCATGGTTCATCAGACTGATTCATGATACTTGCATTCATTTGAATAAATCTATGTTGCTCCTCTGCTTATTCCACTCTAATTCTACAATGAGCTCTATTGATGAGAAGCCTCTTTCATGGTTCATCAGACTGATTCATGATACTTGCATTCATTTGAATAAATCTATGTTTGCTCCTCTGCTTATTCCACTCTAATTCTACAATGAGCTCTATTGATGAGAAGCCTCTTTCATGGTTCATCAGACTGATTCATGATACTTGCATTCATTTGAATAAATCTATGTTGCTCCTCTGCTTATTCCAATCTAATTCTATAAATGAGCTCTATTGATGAGAAGCCTCTTTCATGGTTCATCAGACTGATTCATGATACTTGCATTCATTTGAATAAATCTATGTTGCTCCTCTGCTTATTCCACTCTAATTCTACAATGAGCTCTATTGATGAGAAGCCTCTTTCATGGTTCATCAGACTGATTCATGATACTTGCATTCATTTGAATAAATCTATGTTGCTCCTCTTCTTATTCCACTCTAATTCTACAATGAGCTCTATTGATGAGAAGCCTCTTTCATGGTTCATCAGACTGATTCATGATAATACTTGCATTCATTTGAACTATGTTGCTCCTCTGCTTATTCCAATTAATTCTACAATGAACTCTATTGATGAGAAGCCTTTTCATGGTTCAATCAGACTGATTCATATGTTCATTTGAATAAATCTATGTTGCTCTCTTCCTCTAATTGCTTATTCCACTCTAATTCTATTCAATGAGCTCTATTGATGAGAAGCCTCTTTCATGGTTCATCAGACTGATTCATGATACTTGCATTCATTTGAATAAATCTATGTTGCTCCTCTGCTTATTCCACTCTAATTCTACAATGAGCTCTATTGATGAGAAGCCTTTCTTTCATGGTTCATCAGACTGATTCATGATACTTGCATTCATTTGAATAAATCTATGTTTGCTCCTCTGCTTATTCCACTCTAATTCCACAATGAGCTCTATTGATGAAGCCTCTTTCATGGTTCATCAGACTGATTCATGATACTTGCATTCATTTGAATAAATCTATGTTGCTCCTCTGCTTATTCCACTCTAATTCTACAATGAGCTCTATTGATGAGAAGCCTCTTTCATGGTTCATCAGACTGATTCATGATACTTGCATTTGAATAAATCTATTTTGATTCCTCTAATTCTATGATTCTATTGATGAGTTTTTCATGGTTCATCAGACTGATTCTGATACTTATTCCATTTGAATAAATCTATAATCTCTTATTCCTCCCATGAGCTCTATTGATGAGAAGCCTCTTTCATGGTTCATCAGACTGATTCATGATACTTGCATTCATTTGAATAAATCTATGTTGCTCCTCTGCTTATTCCACTCTAATTCTACAATGAGCTCTATTGATGAGAAGCCTCTTTCATGGTTCATCAGACTGATTCATGATACTTGCATTCATTTGAATAAATCTATGTTGCTCCTCTGCTTATTCCACTCTAATTCTAAAATGAGCTCTATTGATGAGAAGCCTCTATCATGGTTCATCAGACTGATTCATGATATTTGCATTCATTTGAATAAATCTATATTTGCTCCTCTGCTTATTCCACTCTAATTCTACAATGAGCTCTATTGATGAGAAGCCTCTTTCATGGTTCATCAGACTGATTCATGATACTTGCATTCATTTGAATAAATCTATGTTGCTCCTCTGCTTATTCCACTCTAATTCTACAATGAGCTCTATTGATGAGAAGCCTCTTTCATGGTTCATCAGACTGATTCATGATACTTGCATTCATTTGAATAAATCTATGTTGCTCCTCTGCTTATTCCACTCTAATTCTACAATGAGCTCTATTGATGAGAAGCCTCTTTCATGGTTCATCAGACTGATTCATGATACTTGCATTCATTTGAATAAATCTATGTTGCTCCTCTGCTTATTCCATTCTAATTCTACAATGAGCTCTATTGATGAGAAGCCTCTTTCATCAGACTGTTCATCAGACTGATTCATTTGAATAAATCTATGTTGCTTGCATTCATTTGAATAAATCTATGTTGACTCCTCTTTGAATAAATTATTCCCCTGCTAATTCTACAATTCTACAATGAGCTCTATTGATGAGAAGCCTCTTTCATGGTTCATCAGACTGATTCATGATACTTGCATTCATTTGAATAAATCTATATTTGCTCCTCTGCTTATTCCACTCTAATTCTACAATGAATAAATCTATTGATGATTCCACTCCTCCTCTTTCATGGTTCATCAGACTGATTCATGATACTTGCATTCATTTGAATAAATCTATTTGCTCCTCTGCTTATTCCACTTAATTTCTACAATGAGCTCTATTGATGAGAAGCCTCTTTCATGGTTCATCAGACTGATTCATGATACTTGCATTCATTTGAATAAATCTATGTTGCCCTCTGCTTATTCCACTCTAATTCTACAATGAGCTCTATTGATGAGAAGCCTCTTTCATGGTTCATCAGACTGATTCATGATACTTGCATTCATTTGAATAAATCTATGTTGCTCCTCTGCTTATTCCTCTCTAATTCTACAATGAGCTCTATTGATGAGAAGCTTTCATGGTTCATCAGACTGATTCATGATACTTGCATTCATTTGAATAAATCTATGTTTGCTCCTCTTCTTATTCCACTCTAATTCTACAATGAGCTCTATTGATGAGAAGCCACTGATTCATGATACTTGCATTCATTTGAATAAATCTATGTTGCTCCTCTGCTTATTCCACTCTAATTCTACAATGAGCTCTATTGATGAGAAGCCTCTTTCATGGTTCATCAGACTGATTCATGATACTTGCATTCATTTGAATAAATCTATGTTGCTCCTCTGCTTATTCCACTCTAATTCTACAATGAGCTCTATTGATGAGAAGCTTTTTCTTATGGTTCATCAGACTGATTCATGATACTTGCATTCATTTGAATAAATCTATGTTGCTCCTCTGCTTATTCCACTCTAATTCTGATAATGAGCTTCATTTTGATGAGAAGCCTCTTCATGGTTCATCAGACTGATTCATGATACTTGCATTCATTTGAATAAATCTATGTTTTGCTCCTCTGCTTATTCCACTTCTAATTCTACAATGAACTCTATTGATGAGAAGCCTCTTTCATGGTTCATCAGACTGATTCATGATACTTGCATTCATTTGAATAAATCTATTTTGCTCCTCTGCTTAAATTCTATGAGCTCTATTGATGAGAAGCTCTTTCATGGTTCATCAGACTGATTCATGATACTTGCATTCATTTGAATAAATCTATATGTTGCTCTCTGCTTATTCCATCATCTCAATTCTGAATGAGCTCTATTGATGAGAAGCCTCTTTCATGGTTCATCAGACTGATTCATGATACTTGCATTCATTTGAATAAATCTATGTTGCTCCTCTGCTTATTCCACTCTAATTCTACAATGAACGCTATTGATGAGAAGCCTCTTTCATGGTTCATCAGACTGATTCATGATACTTGCATTCATTTGAATAAATCTATGTTGCTCCTCTGCTTATTCCACTCTAATTCTACAATGAGCTCTATTGATGAGAAGCCTCTTTTCATGGTTCATCAGACTGATTCTTCTATGATATCAGACTTGCATTCATTTGAATAAATCTATGTTGCTGCTTATTCCACTCTGCTTATTCCACTCTAATTCATGGTTCATCAGAGCTCATGATATTGAATAAATCTATTTTGCTCCTCCTCTTTCATGGTTTCATCTATTGACTCTTTCATTCATGATATTTGCATTCATTTGAATAAATCTATGTTGCTCCTCTGCTTATTCCACTCTAATTCTACAATGAGCTCTATTGATGAGAAGCCTCTTTCATGGTTCATCAGACTGATTCATGATACTTGCATTCATTTGAATAAATCTATGTTGCTCCTCTGCTTATTCCACTCTAATTCTACAATGAGCTCTATTGATGAGAAGCCTCTTTCATGGTTCATCAGACTGATTCATGATACTTGCATTCATTTGAATAAATCTATGTTGCTCCTCTGCTTATTCCTCTAATTCTACAATGAGCTCTATTGATGAGAAGCCTCTTTCATGGTTCATCAGACTGATTCTACTTGCATTCATTTGAATAAATCTATGTTGCTCCTCTGCTTATTCCACTCTAATTCTACAATGAGCTCTATTGATGAGAAGCTCTTTCATGGTTCATCAGACTGATTCATGATACTTGCATTCATTTGAATAAATCTATGTTGCTCCTCTGCTTATTCCACTCTAATTCTACAATGAGCTCTATTGATGAGAAGCCTCTTTCATGGTTCATCAGACTGATTCATGATACTTGCATTCATTTGAATAAATCTTCCTCTGCTTATTCCACTTCAATTCTACAATGAGCTCTATTGATGAGAAGCCTCTTTCATGGTTCATCAGACTGATTCATGATACTTGCATTCATTTGAATAAATCTATGTTGCTCCTCTGCTTATTCCTCTAATTCTACAATGAGCTCTATTGATGAGAAATGAGCCTCTTTCATGGTTCATCAGACTGATTCATGATACTTGCATTCATTTGAATAAATCTATGTTGCTCCTCTGAGCTTATTCCACTTTCATGGTTCATCTATTCAATGATACTCTATTGATGAAATCTATGCCTCTTTCATGGTTCATCAGACTGATTCATGATACTTGCATTCATTTGAATAAATCTATGTTGCTCCTCTGCTTATTCCACTCTAATTCTACAATGAGCTCTATTGATGAGAAGCCTCTTTCATGGTTCATCAGACTGATTCATGATACTTGCATTCATTTGAATAAATCTATGTTGCTCCTCTTCTTATTCCACTCTAATTCTACAATGATTTCTATTGATGAGAAGCCTCTTTCATGGTTCATCAGACTGATTCATGATACTTGCATTCATTTGAATAAATCTATGTTGCTCCTCTTCTTATTCCACTCTAATTCTACAATGATTTCTATTGATGAGAAGCCTCTTTCATGGTTCATCAGACTGATTCATGATACTTGCATTCATTTGAATAAATCTATGTTGCTCCTCTGCTTATTCCACTCTAATTCTACAATGAGCTCTATTGATGAGAAGCCTCTTTCATGGTTCATCAGACTGATTCATGATACTTGCATTCATTTGAATAAATCTATGTTTTATTCTCCTCTGCTTATTCCACTCTAATTCTACAATGAGCTCTATTGATGAGAAGCCTCTTTCATGGTTCATCAGACTGATTCATGATACTTGCATTCATTTGAATAAATCTATGTTGCTCCTCTGCTTATTCCACTCTAATTCTACAATGAGCTCTATTGATGAGAAGCCTCTTTCATGGTTCATCAGACTGATTCATGATACTTGCATTCATTTGAATAAATCTATGTTGCTCCTCTGCTTATTCCAATAATTCTACAATGAGCTCTATTGATGAGAAGCCTCTTTCATGGTTCATCAGACTGATTCATGATACTTGCATTCATTTGAATAAATCTGTTGCTCTCTGCTTATTCCACTTATTCCAATGAGCTCTATTGATTCTTTCATGGTTCAATGATTCATGATACTCTATTTGAATAAATCTGTTGCTCCTCTGAAGCCTCTTTACAATGAGCTCTTTGATGAGAAGCCTGATGGTTCATCAGACTGATTCATGATACTTGCATTCATTTGAATAAATCTATGTTGCTCCTCTGCTTATTCCACTCTAATTCTACAATGAACTCTATTGATGAGAAGCCTCTTTCATGGTTCATCAGACTGATTCATGATACTTGCATTCATTTGAATAAATCTATGTTGCTCCTCTGCTTATTCCACTCTAATTCTACAATGAGCTCTATTGATGAGAAGCCTCTTTCATGGTTCATCAGACTGATTCATGATACTTGCATTCATTTGAATAAATCTATGTTGCTCCTCTGCTTATTCCACTCTAATTCTACAATGAGCTCTATTGATGAGAAGCCTCTTTCATGGTTCATCAGACTGATTCATGATACTTGCATTCATTTGAATAAATCTATGTTGCTCCTCTGCTTATTCCACTCTAATTCTACAATGAGCTCTATTGATGAGAAGCCTCTTTCATGGTTCATCAGACTGATTCATGATACTTGCATTCATTTGAATAAATCTATGTTGCTCCTCTGCTTATTCCACTCTCATTCTACAATGAGCTCTATTGATGAGAAGCCTCTTTCATGGTTCATCAGACTGATTCATGATACTTGCATTCATTTGAATAAATCTATGTTGCTTGCTGCTTATTCCTCTGCTTATGAGCTCTATTGATGAGATTCCTCTTTCATGGTTCATCAGACTGATTCATGATACTTGCATTCATTTGAATAAATCTATGTTGCTCCTCTGCTTATTCCAAGCTACAATGAGCTTATTGATGAGTTCATGGTTCATCAGACTGATTCATGATACTTGCATTCATTTGAATAAATCTATGTTGCTCCTCTGCTTATTCCACTCTAATTCTACAATGACAATGAGCCTCTTTCATGGTTCATTGATGATTCATGATAGCATTCATTTGAATAAATCATGGTTCTCAGACTGATTCTTTCATGGTTCATCAGACTATCATTGATCTGCATTCATTTGAATAAATCTATGTTGCTCCTCTGCTTATTCCACTCTAATTCTACAATGAGCTCTATTGATGAGAAGCCTCTTTCATGGTTCATCAGACTGATTCATGATACTTGCATTCATTTGAATAAATCTATGTTGCTCCTCTGCTTATTCCACTCTAATTCTACAATGAGCTCTATTGATGAGAAGCCTCTTTCATGGTTCATCAGACTGATTCATGATACTTGCATTCATTTGAATAAATCTATGTTGCTCCTCTGCTTATTCCACTCTTAATTCTAATTCTACCTATTGATGAGAAGCCTCTTTCATGGTTCATCAGACTGATTCATGATACTTGCATTCATTTGAATAAATCTATGTTTGCTCTCTGCTTATTCCACTCTAATTCTACAATGAGTTCATTCATCAGACTGATTCATGATACTTGCATTCATTTGAATAAATCTATGTTGCTCCTCTGCTTATTCCACTCTAATTCTACAATGAGGCTCTATTGATGAGAAGCCTCTTTCATGGTTCATCAGACTGATTCATGATACTTGCATTCATTTGAATAAATCTATGTTTTGCTCCTCTGCTTATTCCACTCTAATTCTACAATGAGCTCTATTGATGAGAAGCCTCTTTCATGGTTCATCAGACTGATTCATGATACTTGCATTCATTTGAATAAATCTATGTTGCTCCTCTGCTTATTCCTCTTTCATGGTTCATAATTTCATATACAATTTTTTGAATAAATCTATGTTGCTCTATTGATGAGAAGCCTCTTTCATGGTTCATCAGACTGATTCATGATACTTGCATTCATTTGAATAAATCTATGTTGACTCCTCTGCTTATTCCAATCTCTAATTCTAATTATAATGAGCTCTATTGATGAGAAGCCTCTTTCATGGTTCATCAGACTGATTCATGATACTTGCATTCATTTGAATAAATCTATGTTGCTCCTCTGCTTATTCCACTCTAATTCTACAATGAGCTCTATTGATGAGAAGCCTCTTTCATGGTTCATCAGACTGATTCATGATACTTGCATTCATTTGAATAAATCTATGTTGCTCCTCTGCTTATTCCACTCTAATTCTACAATGAGCTCTATTGATGAGAAGCCTCTTTCATGGTTCATCAGACTGATTCATGATACTTGCATTCATTTGAATAAATCTATGTTTCTCCTCTGCTTATTCCAATCTAATTCTACAATGAGCTCTATTGATGAGAAGCCTCTTTCATGGTTCATCAGACTGATTCATGATACTTGCATTCATTTGAATAAATCTATGTTGCTCCTCTGCTTATTCCAATGAGCTCTAATTCTAAATGATTCATGATACTCTTTGAATAAATCTTGTTGATTCCACCTTCTCATTCTGAATGAGCTTCTCTTTCATGGTTCATCAGACTGATTCATGATACTTGCATTCATTTGAATAAATCTATGTTGCTCTCTGCTTATTCCACTCTAATTCTACAATGAGCTCTATTGATGAGAAGCCTCTTTCATGGTTCATCAGACTGATTCATGATACTTGCATTCATTTGAATAAATCTATGTTGCTCCTCTGCTTATTCCACTCCAATTCTACAATGAGCTCTATTGATGAGGAGCCTCTTTCATGGTTCATCAGACTGATTCATGATACTTGCATACATTTGAATAAATCTATGTTGCTCCTCTGCTTATTCCACTCTAATTCTACAATGAGCTCTATTGATGAGAAGCCTCTTTCATGGTTCATCAGACTGATTCATGATACTTGCATTCATTTGAATAAATCTATGTTCTCTGCTTATTCCACTCTAATTCTCACAATGAGCTCTATTGATGAGAAGCTTTCTTCCTAATGAGACTGGATTCATAATAAATCTATTTGCTCCTTGCTTATTCCACTCTAATTCTACAATGATTCAATCTATTGATGAGAAGCCTTGATGAAGCTTTTCATGGTTCATCAGACTGATTCATGATACTTGCATTCATTTGAATAAATCTATGTTGCTCCTCTGCTTATTCCACTCTAATTCTACAATGATTGATGAGAAGCTCTTTTATTTCATCAGACTGATTCATGATACTTGCATTCATTTTGAATAAATCATGGTTCATTCAGACTGGTTCATCAGACTCATGATACTTGCATTCATTTGAATAAATCTATTGTTGCTCCTCTGCTTATTCCAATCTAATTCTACAATGAACTCTATTGATGAGAAGCCTTTTTCTTGGTTCATCAGACTGATTCATGATACTTGCATTCATTTGAATAAATCTATGTTGCTCCTCTGCTTATTCCACTCTAATTCTACAATGAGCTCTATTGATGAGAAGCCTCTTTCATGGTTCATCAGACTGATTCATGATACTTGCATTCATTTGAATAAATCTATGTTGCTCCTCTGCTTATTCCACTCTAATTCTACAATGAGCTCTATTGATGAGAAGCCTCTTTCATGGTTCATCAGACTGATTCATGATACTTGCATTCATTTGAATAAATCTATGTTGCTCCTCTGCTTATTCCACTCTAATTCTACAATGAGCTCTATTGATGAGAAGCCTCTTTTCATGGTTCATCAGACTGATTCATGATACTTGCATTCATTTGAATAAATCTATGTTGCTACTCTGCTTATTCCACTAATTCTACAATGAGCTCTATTGATGAGAAGCCTCTTTCATGGTTCATCAGACTGATTCATGATACCTGCATTCATTTGAATAAATCTATTTGCTCCTCTGCTTATTCACTCTAATTCTACAATGAGCTCTATTGATGAGAAGTCTCTTTCATGGTTCATCAGACTGATTCATGATACTTGCATTCATTTGAATAAATCTGTTGCTCCTCTGCTTATTCCACTCTAATTCTACAATGAGCTCTATTGATGAGAAGCCTCTTTCATGGTTCATCAGACTGATTCATGATACTTGCATTCATTTGAATAAATCTATGTTGCTCCTCTGCTTATTCCACTCTAATTCTACAATGAGCTCTATTGATGAGAAGCCTTCTTTGAATAAATCATGGTTCATCAGACTGATTCATGATACTTGCATTCATTTGAATAAATCTATGTTGCTCCTCTGCTTATTCCACTCTAATTCTACAATGAGCTCTATTGATGAGAAGCCTCTTTCATGGTTCATCAGACTGATTCATGATAAATCTTGCATTCATTTGAATAAATCTTCCATGTTCATCAGACTGATTCTACTTGCTTATTCCAATTCCTCTAATTCTACAATGAGCTCTATTGATGAGAAGCCTCTTTCATGGTTCATCAGACTGATTCATGATACTTGCATTCATTTGAATAAATCTATGTTGCTCCTCTGCTTATTCCACTCTAATTCTACAATGAGCTCTATTGATGAGAAGCCTCTTTCATGGTTCATCAGACTGATTCATGATACTTGCATTCATTTGAATAAATCTATGTTGCTCCTCTGCTTATTCCTCTAATTCTACAATTCTATTGATGAAGCCTCTTTCATTTCATCAGATGATTCATGATACTTGCATTCATTTGAATAAATCTATGGTTCTGCTTATTCCTCTAATTCTACAATGAGCTTCATGATAAGCCTCTTTCATTTCATTTGATTCAAATACTTGCATTCATTTGAATAAATTATTTTGCACCTCTGCTTATTCCACTCTAATTCTACAATGAGCTCTATTGATGAGAGCCTCTTTTCATGGTTCATCAGACTGATTCATGATACTTGCATTCATTTGAATAAATCTATGTTGCTCCTCTGCTTATTCCACTCTAATTCTACAATGGCTCTATTCGAGAAGCCTCTTTCATGGTTTATGCTCTATTGATGAGAAGCCTCTTTCATGGTTCATCAGACTGATTCATGATACTTGCATTCATTTGAATAAATCTATGTTGCTCCTCTGCTTATTCCACTCTAATTCTACAATGAGCTCTATTGATGAGAAGCCTCTTTCATGGTTCATCAGACTGATTCATGATACTTGCATTCATTTGAATAAATCTATGTTGCTCCTCTGCTTATTCCACTCTAATTCTACAATGAGCTCTATTGATGAGAAGCCTCTTTCATGGTTCATCAGACTGATTCATGATACTTGCATTCATTTGAATAAATCTATGTTGCTCCTCTGCTTATTCCACTCTAATTCTACAATGAGCTCTATTGATGAGAAGCCTCTTTCATGGTTCATCAGACTGATTCATGATACTTGCATTCATTTGAATAAATCTATGTTGCTCCTCTGCTTATTCCACTCTAATTCTCTCTTTCATGGTTCATCAGACTGATTCATGATACTTGCATTCATTTGAATAAATCATGTTTCATCAGATTCCACTTCTAATTCTACAATGAGCACTATTGATGAGAATTTTCATTCATGAATATTTGAATAAATCTATGTTGCTCCTCTGCTTATTCCACTCTAATTCTACAATGAGCTCTATTGATGAGAAGCCTCTTTCATGGTTCATCAGACTGATTCATGATACTTGCATTCATTTGAATAAATCTATGTTGCTCCTCTGCTTATTCCACTCCAATTCTACAATGAGCTCTTGAATGAATCTAAGCCTCTTTCATGGTTCATCAGACTGATTCATGATACTTGATATTCATTTGAATAAATCTATATTGCTCCTCTGCTTATTCCACTCTAATTCTAAATGAGCTCTATTGATGAGAAGCCTCTTTCATGGTTCATCAGACTGATTCATGATACTTGCATTCATTTGAATAAATCTATGTTGCTCCTCTGCTTATTCCACTCTAATTCTACAATGAGCTCTATTGATGAGAAGCCTCTTTCATGGTTCATCAGACTGATTCATGATACTTGCATTCATTTGAATAAATCTATGTTCTGCTTATTCCTCTAATTCTACAATGAGCTTATTCTTTCATGGTTCATCAGACTTTCATGATACTTGCATTCATTTGAATAAATCTATATTTGCTCCTCTGCTTGATGAGAGAAGCCTCTTTCATGGTTCATCAGACTGATTCATGATACTTGCATTCATTTGAATAAATCTATGTTGCTCCTCTGCTTATTCCACTCTAATTCTACAATGAGCTCTATTGATGAGAAGCCTCTTTCATGGTTCATCAGACTGATTCATGATACTTGCATTCATTTGAATAAATCTATATTTGCTCCTCTGCTTATTCCACTCTAATTCTACAATGAGCTCTATTGATGAGAAGCCTCTTTCATGGTTCATCAGACTGATTCATGATACTTGCATTCATTTGAATAAATCTATGTTGCTCCTCTGCTTATTCCACTCTAATTCTACAATGAGCTCTATTGATGAGAAGCCTCTTTCATGGTTCATCAGGATTCATGAGACTTGATTCATTTGAATAAATCTTGCATTCCACTCTAATTCTACAATAAAGAATTGAAATCCTCTTTCATGGTTCATCAGACTGATTCATGATACTTGCATTCATTTGAATAAAATCTTATTCCATTCCATACTCTAATTCTACAATGAGCTCTATTGATGAAGCCTCTTTCATGGTTCATCAGACTGATTCATGATACTTGCATTCATTTGAATAAATCTATGTTGCTCCTCTGCTTATTCCTCTCTAATTCTACAATGAGCTCCTATTGATCTATTGATGAGAAGCCTCTTTCATGGTTCATCAGACTGATTCATGATACTTGCATTCATTTGAATAAATCTATGTTGCTCCTCTGCTTATTCCACTCTAATTCTACAATGAACCCTATTGATGAGAAGCCTCTTTCATGGTTCATCAGACTGATTCATGATACTTGCATTCATTTGAATAAATCTATGTTGCTCCTCTGCTTATTCCACTCTAATTCTACAATGAGCTCTATTGATGAGAAGCCTCTTTCATGGTTCATCAGACTGATTCATGATACTTGCATTCATTTGAATAAATCTATGTTGCTCCTCTGCTTATTCCACTCTAATTCTACAATGAGCTCTATTGATGAGAAGCCTCTTTCATGGTTCATCAGACTTCATGATTCATTCATTTGAATAAATCTATGTTGCATTCAATTTGAATAAATCTATAGTTCATCAGACTGATTCATGATCTGCTTATTTGAATAAATCTATGTTGCTCCTCTGCTTATTCCACTCTAATTCTACAATGAGCTCTATTGATGAGAAGCCTCTTTCATGGTTCATCAGACTGATTCATGATACTTGCATTCATTTGAATAAATCTATGTTGCTCCTCTGCTTATTCCCTCTAATTCTACAATGAGCTCTATTGATGAGAAGCCTCTTTCATGGTTCATCAGACTGATTCATGATACTTGCATTCATTTGAATAAATCTATGTTGCTCCTCTGCTTATTCCACTCTAATTCTGTGGAGCTCTATTGATGAGAAGCCTCTTTCATGGTTCATCAGACTGATTCATGATACTTGCATTCATTTGAATAAATCTATGTTGCTCCTCTGCTTATTCCACTCTAATTCTACAATGATTCATGCTCTATTGATGAGAAGCCTCTTTATTCATGGTTCATCAGACTGATTCATGATACTTGCATTCATTTGAATAAATCTATGTTGCTCCTCTGCTTATTCCACTCTAATTCTACAATGAGCTCTATTGATGAGAAGCCTCTTTCATGGTTCATCAGACTGATTCATGATACTTGCATTCATTTGAATAAATCTATGTTGCTCCTCTGCTTATTCCACTCTAATTCTACAATGAGCTCTATTGATGAGAAGCCTCTTTCATGGTTCATCAGACTGATTCATGATACTTGCATTCATTTGAATAAATCTATGTTGCTCCTCTGCTTATTCCACTCTAATTCTACAATGAGCTCTATTGATGAGAAGCCTCTTTCATGGTTCATCAGACTGATTCATGATACTTGCATTCATTTGAATAAATCTATGTTGCTCCTCTGCTTATTCCACTCTAATTCTACAATGAGCTCTATTGATGAGAAGCCTCTTTCATGGTTCATCAGACTGATTCATGATACTTGCATTCATTTGAATAAATCTATGTTGCTCCTCTGCTTATTCCACTCTAATTCTACAATGAGCTCTATTGATGAGAAGCCTCTTTCATGGTTCATCAGACTGATTCATGATACTTGCATTCATTTGAATAAATCTATGTTGCTCCTCTGCTTATTCCACTCTAATTCTACAATGAGCTCTATTGATGAGAAGCCTCTTTCATGGTTCATCAGACTGATTCATGATACTTGCATTCATTTGAATAAATCTATGTTGTCCTCTGCTTATTCCACTCTAATTCTACAATGAGCTCTATTGATGAGAAGCCTCTTTCATGGTTCATCAGACTGATTCATGATACTTGCATTCATTTGAATAAATCTATGTTGCTCCTCTGCTTATTCCACTCTAATTCTACAATGAGCTCTATTGATGAGAAGCCTTTTCATGTTCATCAGACTGATTCATGATTTGAATAAATTGCCTCTGCTTATTCATTTAATTCTACAATGAATAAATCTATGTTGTTCATCAGACTCTGATACTTATTCATTTAATTCTATGTTGCAATGAATGAGCTCTATTGATGAGAAGCCTCTTTCATGGTTCATCAGACTGATTCATGATACTTGCATTCATTTGAATAAATCTATGTTGCTCCTCTGCTTATTCCACTCTAATTCTACAATGAGCTCTATTGATGAGAAGCCTCTTTCATGGTTCATCAGACTGATTCATGATACTTGCATTCATTTGAATAAATCTATGTTGCTCCTCTGCTTATTCCACTCTAATTCTACAATGAGCTCTATTGATGAGAAGCCTCTTTCATGGTTCATCAGACTGATTCATGATACTTGCATTCATTTGAATAAATCTATGTTGCTCCTCTGCTTATTCCACTCTAATTCTACAATGAGCTCTATTGATGAGAAGCCTCTTTCATGGTTCATCAGACTGATTCATGATACTTGCATTCATTTGAATAAATCTATGTTGCTCCTCTGCTTATTCCACTCTAATTCTACAATGAGCTCTATTTGATGAAGCCTCTTTCATGGTTCATCAGACTGATTCATGATACTTGCATTCATTTGAATAAATCTATGTTGCTCCTCTGCTTATTCCACTAATTCTACAATGAGCTCTATTGATGAGAAGCCTCTTTCATGGTTCATCAGACTGATTCATGATACTTGCATTCATTTGAATAAATCTATGTTGCTCCTCTTCTTATTCCACTCTAATTCTACAATGAGCTCTATTGATGAGAAGCCTCTTTCATGGTTCATCAGACTGATTCATGATACTTGCATTCATTTGAATAAATCTATGTTGCTCCTCTGCTTATTCCACTAATTCTACAATGAGCTCTATTGATGAGAATCCTCTTTCATGGTTCATCAGACTGATTCATGATACTTGCATTCATTTGAATAAATCTATGTTGCTCCTCTGCTTATTCCACTCTAATTCTAATTCTACAATGAGCTCTTTCATGGTTCATCAGATGATTCATGAAGCATTCATTTCATGGTTCATTCAGACTAATTCTATGATATTGATGCATTCATTTTCATCAAATTCTATACTTGCATTCATTTGAATAAATATTCCACTTATTCCTCTAATTCTACAATGAGCTCTATTGATGAGAAGCCTCTTCCATGGTTCATCAGACTGATTCATGATACTTGCATTCATTTGAATAAATCTATGTTGCTCCTCTGCTTATTCCACTCTAATTCTACAATGAGCTCTATTGATGAGAAGCCTCTTTCATGGTTCATCAGACTGATTCATGATACTTGCTTGCATTCATTTGAATAAATCTATGTTGTCTTGAATAAATCTATGTTGCTCCTCTGCTTATTCCATTCTTTAATTCTACAATGAGCTCTATTGATGAGAAAGCCTTCTGGTTCATCAGACTGATTCATGTTCATTCATTTGAATAAATCTGATTCACAATGATCTATTGATGAGAAGCCTCTTTCATGGTTCATTTGATTCATAAATTCATTTGAATAAATCTATGTTGCTCCTCTGCTTATTCCACTCTAATTCTACAATGAGCTCTATTGATGAGAAGCCTCTTTCATGGTTCATCAGACTGATTCATGATACTTGCATTCATTTGAATAAATCTATGTTGCTCCTCTGCTTATTCCACTCTAATTCTACAATGAGCTCTATTGATGAGAAGCCTCTTTCATGGTTCATCAGACTGATTCATGATACTTGCATTCATTTGAATAAATCTATGTTGCTCCTCTGCTTATTCCACTCTAATTCTACAATGAGCTCTATTGATGAGAAGCCTCTTTCATGGTTCATCAGACTGATTCATGATACTTGCATTCATTTGAATAAATCTATGTTGCTCCTCTGCTTATTCCACTCTAATTCTACAATGAGCTCTCTATTGATGAGAAGCCTCTTTCATGGTTCATCAGACTGATTCATGATACTTGCATTCATTTGAATAAATCTATGTTGCTCCTCTGCTTATTCCACTCTAATTCTACAATGAGCTCTATTGATGAGAAGCCTCTTTCATGGTTCATCAGACTGATTCATGATACTTGCATTCATTTGAATAAATCTATGTTGCCTCTCTTATTCCAATCTAATTCTACAATGAGCTCTATTGATGAGAAGCCTCTTTCATGGTTCATCAGACTGATTCATGATACTTGCATTCATTTGAATAAATCTATGTTGCTCCTCTGCTTATTCCACTCTAATTCTACAATGAGCTCTATTGATGAGAAGCCTCTTTCATGGTTCATCAGACTGATTCATGATACTTGCATTCATTTGAATAAATCTATGTTTGCCCTCTGCTTATTCCACTCTAATTCTACAATGAGCTCTATTGATGAGAAGCCTCTTTTCATGGTTCATCAGACTGATTCATGATACTTGCATTCATTTGAATAAATCTATGTTGCTCCTCTGCTTATTCCACTCTAATTCTACAATGAGCTCTATTGATGAGAAGCCTCTTTCATGGTTCATCAGACTGATTCATTCATTTGAATAAATCTTCCTCTGCTTATTCCATTAATTCTCTAATGAATGAAATCTTTCATGGTTCATCAGACTGATTCATGATACTTGCATTCATTTGAATAAATCTATGTTGCTCCTCCTTATTCCACTCTAATTCCACTCTATTGATGAAAGCTACAATGAGCTCTATTGATGAGAAGTCTCTTTTGCATGGTTCATTCAATTCTAATGACTCTATTGACTGATTCATGATACTTGCATTCATTTGAATAAATCTATGTTGCTCCTCTGCTTATTCCACTCTAATTCTACAATGAGCTCTATTGATGAGAAGCCTCTTTCATGGTTCATCAGACTGATTCATGATACTTGCATTCATTTGAATAAATCTATGTTGCTCCTCTGCTTATTCCACTAAATTCTACAATGAGCTCTATTGATGAGAATCCTCTTTCATGGTTCAACAGACTGATTCATGATACTTGCATTCATTTGAATAAATCTATGTTGCTCCTCTGCTTATTCCACTCTAATTCTACAATGAGCTCTATTGATGAGAAGCCTCTTTCATGGGTCATCAGACTGATTCTGATTCATGATAAATCTTGCATTCATTTTCCAAATTCTAAATCTATTGATTGCATGGTTCCAGACTGATTCATGATACTTGCTTCATTTGAATAAATCTGTTGCTCCTCTTTATTCCACTCTAATTCTACAATGAACTCTATTGATGAGAAGCCTCTTTCATGGTTCATCAGACTGATTCCTGATACTTGCATTCATTTGAATAAATCTATGTTGCTCCTCTGCTTATTCCACTCTAATTCTGCAATGAGCTCTATTGATGAGAAGCCTCTTTCATGGTTCATCAGACTGATTCCTGATACTTGCATTCATTTGAATAAATCTATGTTGCTCCTCTGCTTATTCCACTAATTCTACAATGAGCTCTATTGATGAGAAGCCTCTTTCATGGTTCATCAGACTGATTCATGATACTCTGATTGCTCCTCTGCTTATTCCAGACTCTATTTAGGCCTCTTTCATAGGTTCATTTGAATAAATAAATCTATGTTGCTCCTCTGCTTATTCCTCTAATTCTCTCTATTGATATTTTCATGGTTCATCAGACTGATTCATGATACTTGCATTCATTTGAATAAATCTATGTTGCTCCTCTTTATTCATCTAATTCTACAATGAACTCTATTGATGATGAAGCCTCTTTCATGGTTCATCAGAATTCAAATACTTGCATTCATTTGAATAAATCTATGTTGCTCTGCTTTATTCCACTCTAATTCTACAATGAGCTCTATTGATGAGAAGCCTCTTTCATGGTTCATCAGACTGATTCATGATACTTGCATTCATTTGAATAAATCTATGTTGCTCCTCTGCTTATTCCACTCTAATTCTACAATGAGCTCTATTGATGAGAAGCCTCTTTCATGGTTCATCAGACTGATTCATGATACTTGCATTCATTTGAATAAATCTATGTTGCTCTCTGCTTATTCCACTCTAATTCTACAATGAGCTCTATTGATGAGAAGCCTCTTTCATGGTTCATCAGACTGATTCATTGATACTTGCATTCATTTGAATAAATCTATGTTGCTCCTCATCAGCTTATTCCACTCTAATTCTTGAATAATGAGCTCTATTGATGAGAAGAAGCCTCTTTCATGGTTCATCAGACTGATTCATGATACTTGCATTCATTTGAATAAATCTATGTTGCTCCTCTGCTTATTCCACTCTAATTCTACAATGAGCTCTATTGATGAGAAGCCTCTTTCATGGTTCATCAGACTGATTCATGATACTTGCATTCATTTGAATAAATCTATATTTGCTCCTCTGCTTATTCCACTAATTCTACAATGAGCCTCTATTGATGAGAAGCCTCTTTCATGGTTCATCAGACTGATTCATGATACTTGCATTCATTTGAATAAATCTATGTTGCTCCTCTGCTTATTCCACTCTAATTCTACAATGAGCTCTATTGATGAGAAGCCTCTTTCATGGTTCATCAGACTGATTCATGATACTTGCATTCATTTGAATAAATCTATGTTGCTCCTCTGCTTATTCCACTCTAATTCTACAATGAGCTCTATTGATGAGAAGCCTCTTTCATGGTTCATCAGACTGATTCATGATACTTGCATTCATTTGAATAAATCTATGTTGCTCCTCTGCTTATTCCACTCTAATTCTAATTTTCTATCAATGATTCATGATACTTGCATTCATTTGAATAAATCTATGTTTGATGAATGAAT